TGAATGTGATTAATTCTGGTTGCAATTGGTCAAAAGGTATGTTTCATAAACAGTTGAAAACAATAAATGGAACAACTGTTAAATTAAAAGACAACTTATAATAACTAAAATTAAGCTTTTAGAGTCAGATATGCTAAATGCATAGTTATAAATTTGAGGCAACAGTAGTTTACTGGCTTGAAATCTCATAAATTAATCATCAATGATAAGTTTTAACAAAATGAAGATGTAAAAAACTTATTTCCATACAATACTTAATGATAAACATGGCTTGTACAATAAAACTCTACGTTAACTAATTCCAGATGATTTCAAAAACACAAACATGTTTGGAACAAGCAAAAACAAACAAAAATATATTCTTAATTAGATGAAGCTGCTTTAAATATAACAAAGACACGTATTTGTATATGGAATTAGCAATGCTTCTTGCAATCGTTTAGTTGCAAGGCTATCAGGTATTCATAGTATTTGAAAAAGAGATATCAAAAGTAAATGTATTTTTATTGTTCTAATATTTAGTGTGACATCAACTGACAGTAAACAATTGGTTAATAAATTAAATCTAAAAGTCTGATTCTAGATATCTGCCGTCTACTCCTTTGTCAGACAATGCCAAAGTAACTTATTATAAAACATCTCCCTTTATTGAAGGATTATGAAATAAATTTAAATTTTCTTTAAACGTGACCAAAAAATTGATGATTAAAAATACTATGATACTCTTAAATTTGGGTTCAAATGATATGTAGTAGTTTCACTCTATGAGTATAATAGTAATAAAAGTATAACAGTAAATGTAGTAAATTAATAAAAAAAAATTTAAAGACATCAAAAATACTCTCTTTTGGGTATCAATAAAGAGTTTTTAAGTTCTAAATAAATATGAATGAATCTGATTATCTGCTAGAAATCTTGAATAAACTTAAGAATCATATTTCACATAAGAAATCTAAGTTTCCATATGATAACATTTTTATCAAAAAACTAAAGTTAAATGATAATGCGAATTGCTTTACCACATTTTTGTTAAAAACTATGTTCAAGTTTGTTTAGTAACAACAAAAACGTTTTCAGATGTGTTGTGAATTTTGACATGTATGCAATTCTCTCAACATTTTATTATTTGAAGAAATCATGCAAAGTCACGATTAATGCATAAATAAGTTTTTTCTGCTCTTGAATAGTATCAGAAATGAAGTATGTAGAAAGGTGAAAATGTGACACAAAATAAATGCGGACACCTATTCGTCAACTATATGATGCAAGCAACACAAGAGCAAGTGTTGTAAGAAATTATCGATTTGAAGAGAAAAAAAAAACAGTTAATCATGATATATATAGCACTATGACATTTAACCTACACTTTATACATAACTGACCAACTAGTTGAACTGATACTAAATAAGGGTAACTTATAATAAACACAATTATCCAATAACAGGATATGGGTGGGCACACTTTTTATAAACTTGAAATGGGATATTTGGTCTTTATTTCGAGTATTATATTTCTGGAAACCGGATATTTCAAATTATGTCAAGGAATATTTGATTTAAACATGTAGAGATATAGGATAAAGGAACCCCCTAAAAACCAAATCTCTATGGGAAAAACTTAATATCATGCGTTCAGTAAATTTATGAAAATAACACATGAAAAAAACATAAATATATTAAATTGAAAAAATATATATATAAATGTAAGACTGATAGAACAAGTAGACCTTATAGATTCAAAAATATTTCAGACGTTTGTTGCTTCACAATAACTACAAATACATAATAAAAATATGAAATGATTACAGTAAATCTGTAAATATATTACATAGTATACAAAAATATTACATGAAAAGTATAAAAATATATATGATTACAAATTGATCAATACAATGTATATATGTACGTAGTACTAATGCAATTTATTTTTCAAAGAAATGAATTATGAACATTATAGATATAAGAAGATGTGGTATGAGTGCCAATGAGACAACTCTCCATCAAATTTATAAAAGTAAACCATTATAGGTCAAAGTAAAACATTTTAAGACATCGAATGAGGTGCTTTTTAAAGATAGTTAAGGGTCGCCAACTTTTCATTAATATTTTGTTGTGCGTCTTGTTTTTCCCAAGGCATTGCATCACAATAGTATGCCCTTAATTTTTGTTATTTCTTCTATCTTTTTGAGAAAATTAATTAATTGATTTTCATAAATTTCTTAAGAGAAACAAAGAGATCCTTTGTTTACCATATTTTTATATCAAATGCATTTTTCTCTAAAATTAGAACACAGACCGGTTTATATTTTTCAATTAATTTGAGAAATGTGTAATTCATATTGAAAAAGACAATCCCCGTTTTCATTCTCAATTTTATTTATCAAACTTGTTTTATTATTATTTTCAGCTAAAACACATCCTTAAGGTATTTTTACCATAACGGATACTTTTCAATATTGTTTTAATTTGAGGAAAAGTTATTTCCCGTTACTTCCATGTTAGAAAGTAATGTCTAAAAATTCTTTTTATAAATCTTGTTTTACTGACTGCTAAGAAAAGGATGTTTTCATTTGTTTATGCCTTGTATAGTTCATTAATATGATTTAGTTAGGATCTTTCATCAGACTTGCTTGTACTTATGATGTTTAAATTTGGTTACTTAAATAAGAAAAATCTACCAGTTTGCATTCCAACATGGCGACCAATTAGAATAACTCCAATTTCAACTATCTCAATGGAAACTTCCATTACAAGTGAAAATGGGCATTACTTTAAATAGTGGGGCCTTTTCCAAAATATATACTTATTTATGGTGTTTATAAAGTTTGACAAAAAGAGTCAAAAGTTTAGAAGAGTCATGTTCCAAATCTTGTTCTTAAATTTTGAGTTTTTTGTATTATTCTGTCACAAATAGTGCTGGTTCTTTAAAGATTAATCAATAATCAAGGGAAATAACTGCAAAAAGAATATATGGCACAAATGTTATGAATATATATATGTGTTGTAAATAAATTTCAATGTTGTTATTTACAAGAAAAGTTTATTGCTTTTTATTACATTTGGTTATTACTATTATTCAAGTATCACACTTGTTCTTTTTTTCTTCAGTTTTTTACATGGAATGATTAGTGAAGTATATTTCCAACACAAATTCATCTTTGAAAGCAGTTTTTGATACAGAAGCTAATGATGAGTCCAAACATAAATGTAATAGTGGAAACTTGAAAGGTAGACGGCGCTTTCCAATCATCAACAGTGTTCCTAAATGTAAAATTTAAATTAAGTTTGAAGCTGTATCTTAATATTTCATTTTTCTGGTAATTATTTTATTGAATAATTTTCAACAGCTTTTAAAATTCTAAAAAAATGTGACACACAAAATATGCAAGATGTGTGCTTTTATACAAAGTTAAATCAAACTAAATGAATAGATAGATAGAGATACAAATTGATGTCAAGTAAGGGCTAGTTATAAGTGTCTTGGCAAAGTATAAAGCAAAGACTTTTAAAGTTGTATAAAAAATCAGGTTTCATACAAACAAAGCACTTATTATTACTGCTAAAACTTAAAATGCAGTTAAGACAAATTAAGACCTCAGTTCAGTGATCCATTTGGACTTATATGTAAATATGAAAATAAGTATGGAAAAGCTGTATCAAACATAATCATAAATTTGGGAGATGAAACTATGAAATATATTAATACATTTAAATTTATCTGAAAGAACTTTTTGTCTCCTATTATTGTGTGAGAAAGACACTTTCAAACATTCAAGTTTAAAGTTTAAAAAGGTCTCCCACCGAAATGTACATATTATATTTTTTGAGACAATGTACAGTTATTCCACATATGTTTGATATGTTCCTGGACAATTTACTGTAATTTTCATTGAGACAACTCTTCAAAATAGACCAAATGAAACAGAAATTAACAACTATAGGTCACCGTACGGCCTTCAACAATGAGCAAAGCCCATATCGCGCAGTCAGCTATAAAAGGCCCCGAAATGACAAATGTAAAACAATTCAAACGAGAAAACTAACGGCCTAATTTATGTTCAAAATAGTGAACGAAAAAAAATATGAAACACAGCAACAAACGACAACCACTGAATTTCAAGTTCCTGACTTGGGACAGGCACATACAGAATGTGGTGGGGTTAAACTAGTTTGAAGATGCCAACCCTCCCCCTAACCTGGGACAGTGGTGTAACAGTACAACATAAGAACAAACTATAAAAATCAGTTAAAAAAGACTTAACTCATCAGATGGATACAAATAGAAATACATCCAACAAAAACACATGTGGACATGGGCGGGTACTTGTACATCCCAACAGCAAAAAGAAACTTAGCACAGAGCTGAGAGTACTCGCAGTTACTGACAGCTATTTCAAAGCCAATAAAAACAAATAAAAAAATAATGCATCTTAGACTAAATTATCAATCGGTACACATCCAACATCCAATGGATTTAGTGTAAAGACGTCAAAAACAGTCAGGGAAAAACATGACCTTGTGCAATGCCAAATACAGGTATCGACAGATTGTAGAGCCATGAATGTGTATATGTATATAACAATAATATTTAGTTTGATTTTAATATATTAATAACAAAATCAATATTAATACCATTTACCAATTAAAAGTTGCTTAAATCTATATCATTTGGACGGACTCTGATATAAAACTGTCTCATTGCCAATCATACATGTATCACATTTCCTTTTTTCACATTATAAAAGTTACGTGACTCTTTGTAACTTACAAAAAAAAAATACAATTGTTTAGTCTATGAAGTATATATATATGTATGTAGGTATCATTGCATGGGTTAAAAAGGTGTCAAGAAATGTCAAGGCAAACTTTAATCACCTGTAATAACTTACTTTGCACAGTTAAACCACCCACTTTTGAGGCCAGTCCTTGTAATTCTGATTTGGAAGATAGATCTGACATGTATAATTCCCTGCATCAGTCTCCGTTAATGATCGAATAATCAGTTGGTATATTTCACGATTGCTTGTTCTGTATTTCACCACATCATATTTTCTTCTTCCTTTAACAACTTCATTAATACGAACAGTTTCATCTGAGGAAATGTGTTGAGGGAGACCAGTTGGGGTGGCCTGTTTAATCCATTGCAACTGTTTAAACATAACACAATACTGTCAAAATCGATAAAAGTATATGTTAAAATCAATATAAAAATCATTCAAAAGCTTGAAATGAAATGATAAATCTTTCCTACCACAATATTCGGCCATGACTCCATGGTGTCATATTTGAAGAAAGGGTCAAGTTGTTGATCTAAAACTTACTTCTATTTCCAATTTAAACAGCCGAAAATGATACGAGCAGCAACCTTTTTATCAAAAAAATCCCAATAAGAAAATTGGCAAATAAATATATAGAGTAATGTATACACAATATGCAGGTTCTGCTGAAATGTTGCTTCCATAAAAGTGAAAATTTACAATCAGAAAACTGAATTCATCTTATTTTTGTCATGATAAAGTTTTCTTCTCAACCACTCACCTTTAATATTGTGCCAAACCCATCCTGTATAGTCAAGGCCTAAAACAAACATGTGTTATGCTACCAACCTATAAAATGTCATTTTGGGATAAATTTTGCCTTCTTAATATGATATTATATACCTGTGCTGGAGACTGTAAATTTATGACAGAACAATTCAGGTATGCTGTTTGACCTTGTTTTTTAACCTCTGGTAAAATATCATCCACTATTTCTGGTCTCACAGCAAAAACCTGAAAATTTTAAACAGATGGTTTTAAGGGGAAATAATTTTTTAAAAATGTAAAATGTTTTTATTGAAGTTCATTCCCTCAGCTGATTTAATAGAGCTGTGTTATCAACTGTAACATGTATTCTAATTCATCGGATTTAATTCAAGACCAGCTGTTTTCTCCAATGTGACAAGATTGCCAAACAGATAACTATTCATAAAAGACAAAAGGACAAAGAACGATTACAGGTCAACTTCTATGTACAGTCTTTAATATTGAGGTAAAGTTAAAGCCTAAAAATGCATGGGTTATGCTACCAAAGTAGTTGAACTACAATAAGTTATGGAAGTATTATACAAAACAAAAGACTTGATGTTTTAGCTTAGCATATCATTAATTTTCACTGGTTATTTACATGTATTATGTTTTATTTACATTATTTGTAATGACATATATGTCATGTATGTTGTACACTTGGATTGTGCAATGTCATATTCATATATGTGCTTTATCCAATAAATTATTTGAATTTCAGTTATCTGTAACAGTCATACAAATTTACCACTCACCTTACCATAAACAATGATAAATGATTTTACCCCTGAAAGAGTATACAACTGCTTCATAGCAACAAAGCTACAAAACTGAAACAATTCACAAATATTGGTTAAACATCTTTTAAGGCAGGGGCATCACTATCCTCTTAACTTTGTCAGAGTTTCTCTTCCTTAAGGGCAATAATATGCATATATATTATCATAGTGATTAAGATTATAACCAATGTTGACTGCTGTACCCCTATTTCCTTGGAGTTCGTTTTTTTTTTGTTATTTTACTTTTTTTATGCATGTACCATAATAACAATATCCAACATTAAACACTTGCTAAATCTCTTTGAACTACCGATTAATATTTTTTCAGTTAATCATCATTTCTGGCTTTCAAAGTTTTGAATTTGAGCGTTCCCGATGAAGGTAAATCCAGAAAAGTCCTCCGGACGCATAAAATTGATAATGTATTATTTTCGTTTGTCCCTTGCATCAATATCTACACAACAAACATAGCTGTAAAATGTTAAATAACAACAATACTGAACTCCAAGTAAAATTCAAACGGAAAGTCCCTTATCAAATGGCAAAATCAAAAGCTCAAACACATCAAAATGGAAAACAATTGTCATATTCCTGACTTGGTACAGGCATTTCCTTATGCAGAAAATGGTTTTATAGCTAGCTTAACCTCACGTTTGTATGACAGTCGCATAAATTCCATTATATTGATAACAATGTGTCAGCAAAACAAACAAACATAGTCAAAAATAAATCACTGTACATACAAGTTGGGGAGACAGTTTTCCATCAAACATCTTTCCAAAAAATGAAACAATATTAAAATAAACTAAAAACTCGACTTACTTTAGCACTTATTTTAACTTATACACATATCTAAATATGCATGAATTATTTACAACTGGACTTACGTTAAGCATAAAACAATCAATTTATCTTTATATAAGTCATATTTGTATACGTTTACTTGAAGATGTAAGTCATATTTAATTGAAAAAGTACATTTGTACGATACTCACTTTCTAATCTAGGTTTAAATGATCTCCCCGTATGCTTCTCTAAAAATTTACATATACAAGAGATTATTTCTTTCAAACCTTGAAATTCATAAGTTTTGGGAGATCAAAACATGCCTCAAACATTTTCTCTTGTTTGCTTATTTTTTTTGTATCAGAGGTCACCCTATTATGTGGAAAAAATGAGGAGAGAAAGATACCAAAGGGACATCAAAACTCATAAGTCGAAAATAAACTGACAATACCATGGCTAAAAAAGAAAAGGACCAACAGACAAACAATAGTAAACAAAACACAACATAGAAATCTAAAGACTGAGCAAGACGAACCCCACCAAAACCTGGGGGTGATCTCAGGGTTCTCCAGAAGGGTAAGTAGACATCAGTATGTGGATGGTTTACTGTGAGTGATGAAGAAGGTTTCAAGAACTAAACAAAGAAATATTACTTTTTAACGTTTACATCGGTAAAATCTATAAATAAATGTTAGCAGAATAATAACATCCGATTTGGGATAGTATATCCAAGATAATCGGGAACTTATACATGAATTATTTTATTGGTCCAAGTTATAACCCATATGGTTTGGACTTTGGGTGCGAGATCTCTTCTGTTTTGTACTTATTTGGACACTTTGGTATCGTCACGCTGTCTCAGGAATTTGAAAAATGTAATTGAAAATACTTACCTGAACAAAATATTGATAAAAGAACGACGGCAGTGAAAAAAATCATCATGTTTAATCAACTTTTCGGTTACATTAAATTTAGGAAAATTTTGATCTAAACTTATTTCCTATTTCATGCCACAGGTAAACAGTCTTTGGTTCTCAAGTTTCGCTTATTTGGTAATGTGATCGGTACACAGGTAGTTGTTTTACCAGGTAAATGAACGACCCATTTATGAATCAATCACGTAACATCATTACCAATACAGCAATCCGTTTATAAATGTTGTAAACCCCGAATGTATCAGAGCACTATTGCTGCGTAAAAAGCACAAGCACTTGTCTCGAGCTCTGAAAAAAAAACCATATCTATTTTAATATAACACTAAACAATAGCAGAGACATAAACCAGAGATAACTGAATTTACCCATAAAAAAGATAATGTATTTGTAAAAAGGAGTTATTTTTTGAAATTATACATTTTCACATTTTGAGTTGGCAAACGCATCTCTTTTCGACAGTCTGTATGTCCTATATTTGTATTTTTTCTTGTGTATAGATAGATATTTGAATATGTCTTTCTTGAATGTTTGTTAAAGTATTGAATTTTGTATATATTTGTAAGTATTAAGTCGTATGTCTTTATAACGATCTTAGATTTGGATTTTGGATTTTTTAACCAATAAATAATTTTATATGATTTGGTTTTATATGCATCTCAGTTTATTCTTTCTCTCTCCGGGCACCCTGGATTCCTCCACCAATAAAAACTGACCGCCACGAAATAGCACAATAGTACTGAAAAGTGGCGTAAAACACCAATCATTCAACTAATCATTTTTTGAGGACATTCTGTGTTTTTATTGAAAAAAAACCTTCCTAACTCTCCTAGTCCATGATTCCAAGATTGACTTTAGAAGAACACAAGTGTTAAAAATATCTCTCACCAAATAATGGATACTGACATAACAACAACAAGAGTTAAAAAAAATAAAATTATTGTTTGGTTGTTGCTTACTTAACGTCCAGTAGCAAATCATAGTATTTCATGGAATTCAGATTGAGAACAAATCAACATTCAATACAATAAAAAAGTTTCACAAAGCATGCAGACCAGAAAGAAGGGTGGGAAGTTTTAACTGCCACTGGAACAATGAGGGTATGTTGGATCGGGGCAGAAACTTTGTTTCTACAGGCCAGATATGGACCCATAATAGAGTTGTGTTTTTCAGCCATTTTTTGTTCTTTTATAGGCATATCAAGAACACCCTTCTTTCTATTTTCCTAATAACGTATTAAACAGATAACATACGACTGGAACTCCTCCTTTCAGGTGAAATCCTTTTTAAAATTCTTAATCCGCGTCTGTCTAGTCGTAATAGTCAAATGACGCATCTCTTGACCAAACTCGTGCATCGGATTTATTTTTATCGTGAGTTGGGGGGGGAGGGATCCTGTCACCCAGAATAGCAGCTTAGAAGTTGTTAAAAACATACATTGGTAGTTTGTATCGACTAAATAACATGTGAATCACAAAACAGTTCTATACCACGAAACACCGAGTGAGTAATGACCTCTTGTTAATACTTTTTAATCGTAAATTATGGTCAAAATTTATTTATCAATGGTCGAATATCATAATTCCTTCATTTGATATGAACCAAGGTGAATACAAAACCTGAGACATGGTCAGCGTTTCCTACTGTGCATGTATCACATTTACAGCAGAAGAATACAATACCAACATAAATATACAACAATGCAATACAGATATACATAAAACTATTACAAATTATAAAAGAGAAGCGAAAGATACCAGATGGGTATATAAAATCTGGTGCAGAAAAATTGGTACCGTTAATGTTATTATTACCACTGGGTCGATGCCTTTACTGTTGGACTGTTAACCCCGAAGGTATCATCAGTCTATTATCCAATACTTCAGTTCTGGCATGAAAATACGGACATTGTGTTATTAAAAGTTGCTGTTCCAAATTTTGGAAATTATTTAGATTTAAAGAATATCTTCCTAATGAAAAGCTCTGATTCATTGCCCGATTTTTGCCATACTTTTATACTTTTTGGATAATAAGTCCTTCATCTTTTTAATAAGTTTTGCATTTTCAAATATTTTGGCCTTGAGCATCACTGAAGAGACATTTATTGTCGAAATGCGCATCTGGTGCAGAAACATTGGTACCGTTAATGATACATAAACTTATAGAGTCGAAAACACACTGACATTGCCATAGCAAACTAGAGGCTTTCAAGAGCCTGTGTCGCTCACCTGTATCTACTAGTTTTTTTTGGAAATCATGTAAAATAAGGTTAAAATCATAATAAATAGTACTTTGCTGAACATTAATGCTGTTACAGTTTATCTCTATCTATAATAATATTTAAGATAATAACCAAAAACTGCAAAATTTTCTTAAAATTACCAATTCAAGGGCAGCAACCCAACAACGGGTTGTCTTATTGGTCTGAAAATTTCAGGGCAGATAGATCTAAACCTGATGAACATTTCTACCCCAATGTCAGATTTGCTGTTAGTGCTTTATTTTTCAGATATATAAGCAAAAAAATGTATTTACCCCTATGTTCTATTTAGTCATGTCGGCCATGTTGGTTGGCAAGCGGAGTCATCGGACACATTTTTTTAACTACATACCCTAATGATGATTGTGGTGAAGTTTGGTAAAATTTGTCTCAGTAGTTTCAGAGGAGAAGATTTTTGTAGAAGATTACACAAATTTACAAAAAATTGTTAAAAATTGACTATAAAGGGCAAGTACTCCTTAGGGGGTCAATTTACAAATTTGATCATTTAACTTATTTTTAGATCTTACTTTGCTGAACATTATTGCTGTTTACAGTTTATTTCTATCTATAATAATATTCAAGATAATAACCAAAAACTGCAAAATGTCCTTAAAATTCAGGGGCAGCAACCCAACAACGGGTTGTCTGATTCGTCTGAAAATTTCAGGGCAGATAAATCTAAACCTGATGAATATGTCAGATTTACTTTAAATGCTTTAGTTTCAGATATATAAGTCAAAAACTGCATTTTACCCCTATCTTCTATTTTTAGCCATGTCGGCCATGTTGGTTGGCAAGCGGGGTCATCGGACACATTTTTTAAACTAGATACCCTAATAATGATTGTGGTCAATTTTGGTAAAATTTGTCTCAGTTGTTTCAGAGGAGAAGATTTTTGTAAAAGATTAACGGACGACGACGGACGCCAACTGATGAGAAAAGCTCTATTGGCCCATTGGACCAGGTGATCTAAAAATGAAAAACGACCAAAAGACAAATAACAGTATACAAAACACAACATAGAACACTAATGACGGAGCAACACGAACCCCACCAAAAACCGGGGGTGATTGTAGGTGCTCCAGGAGTGTATACAGATCCTGATCTACATATGGCACTCGTCGTGCTACTCATGCAAGTACGTCACTTTCGAGGTAAAGAGAACGGGATTGTGGCTATGACAATTGTAACATATCCGTCAGATATTTATAAACGCTCAACCAACGTTAACTCGTAATGTTGTCCGTATAATTTTAGAAGGGGTGAGATGGTATTACATATTTCATGTAAATTTAATTAGTAAAGTAAAAATGTATTTTTAACAATTATTTTACTCAGTCTTCTTTTATAAATATACCTTAAATATAGAGCATTTCCGATGAGTAAAAATAATTGCACTATGACCAATGTTACGTTCTGCATGGTCTCCTTACAAGTTTCCGAGAAGAACGTTATATTCACGCAAGCTACCCAACTTCCGAAGCATTATCGTCGGCTTTCTGAACTTTCCCGATTGATTGCCGAGTTTACGAGCTTCTGTCCTTGCTCTGAAGTTGGCAAGCAAACGGTAGATCGACGAATTATCATCAATTGTCATTATCAAAATTGTTACTATATCATAAAAGGGTTGTTTATTATACCATTTGACACTTGTGAGCTCGTGAGATTCTGTTTAAATAAAAAGTAGTGGCGATATACATTTGCATGATTCAGAGTTATATGAATACCTTAAATACAATCAATGAACGTTTATAGTTTGGCCATTATGGGAACGTTGGGCATTGATGAAATATACCAAACACCAAGTACTAATAGGTTTGTAGAGCAGTTACTAATAGTTTGAATGTATTTGTTGAATCATTGAACTATATGGGTTTCATAAAAATAGAATGTCATCTCCTCCCAGCAAGCGAATCAATACTTTATAGGATTGACAATAGGGATTAGGAAACTTATGAAAATAAATTAGTTGTTTGTAACTCAAATGGCAAATGACAAATAAAAACTATTACGAGCGACATTTGTGGCCATTACAGTTTCTCGTATCCGAGGAGAAAATCAATGCAAGTAAAAACTAAACATCTACAAGGAGTTAAAATCGCTACACAGTATATAATTGCCTTTTTATTTATCGCTGTACAATTTGGTCAACCGTACATAATATCTTTGGGAACTTATAAATTATTTAATGCACAGTTTTATCCATATCAAGTCTACATCTTACATAAAAAAATGAAGAAGTGGTATCATTGCCAACTATCCACCATACTAAATGTATTTTCATTTCTTAATCCGACAAACATTTGAAAACAAATTTATCAGAGGGGAAAAGGACGTCTTGTGATCAATTTTAATATCTTACTTTGCACAGTTATATCTCAAAACTTTTTTTATAATACCTCATAATTCTGATTTGGAAGATATATCTGACATGTATAATTCCATGCGTCAAACTCTGAAAGTGTCTTTATAATCAGTTGGTATGTTTTACGGTTGTTTGTTCTGTATTTCACTACACTATATTTGTTTCCCCCTTCAACTAACAGATCACCTCGAACAATGTCATCCGATGAAATATATGAAGGATCATCTGTTGAGTGGGTCTGTTTATTCCATTGTAACTGCTTATCCACGTATCATGTTAATTATCAAATATACAACATTATACATTATAAATTTGCCGTTCAGTGGTATAAAGGTAAAATGCAATGAAATTATTTCAATAAAAGAACTGAGATGTCCTCCAAATCCTCAAATCTTATTTGATCAAAAATTGCCCAATACCAATGTTTATACCAATGTTACATTCTAAAAAAAATATATATATATCCCCTTATAAATTTGGTTTATCTGAATCGTT